TTTAGACACAATTTAAAGGTAAAGGTACAATTACTTAAGCATTATGCCATGAAAACGTATGGGGGAGTGGAGATACTCGTATAGCTCCACTGTTCTTGACATCGACAATAGAAGCAGTTGGTATGCCTTACGCCAGGGGAAAGAGACCCCAGTACCCATTGGATAGGAGGCAGGATGGGCCTCAGAGTTGCTCTGGACTCCGTGGAGAAGAGAAAGATCTTGCCTCTGCCGGGAATCGAACCCCGGTCGTCCAGCCGGTAGCGTATCATAGTATCGACTAACCTACCCCGATTCCTCCTAGATATTTCACAGTTTATTTCTCCGTTGTATTAATATCGCCTCTCCAAGGTACGAACTTTCAAATTTCACACTGAAAGGTAGTCTTCAGAAGTTTCGGAAAATCAGGCAGTTACGGGAAGTGTTTGTTACAGTTTTCCGTTACTTTATGTCTAACATCAGATTTTGTAGCTCTCCGATCTGGATTCTTAGGGCACGTGGCGCTGTCTTCTCGAAGTTTCTGAATTTCCGGGAATTGTGTGTAGTGGTTTCCTTGCCTCTCTTCAGAAATTGATGCAAGATATAAACTTAGTAATATATCAGCTCGCATCGTAACGACGCGCCTGAAGCACGTGACTCACTCCGAAGTTCTGATTCTTCCCGGTAGAGGCTGTGAAGCGTTTAGTCGGTTCAGTAAAAAGTTTTAATTTGGTGCCACCGTAAAGCGAGAATAAACTTAATACTTTCGGGTCACATAACAGATAATGCTATAAACTGAAACGCTAATAGGACCTTGTATTTTATGTCGAATTTAGAAAGTATTTTATTTATTAGACGAAATAAAATGAAACGTTGCAAACATATTTCTGACAATATTAGTATATATATGCATCGTGTTTCTCGCGAGAAACTCGCCAACCTTATACAGTTCGACCGTGAAGATGGAGGCATCATGTGCCTCCGAAACATCTGCAATACTACTCCACCTCCACATGGTGTGAAGTCCCAAGAACTGATTTAACACGAACAATTAGACATTGTGAAAGACTAACATTCATCATCATCTTCATGATCACCGTCGTCATCATCAACATCATGATCATCACTGGCAGAACAGCCGTTTTTTAGCAATAGCCTTCCTTAGAAGATTTTGCCAGATTGCATCAGGTTTTCCCCTTTTCAATTTTGCAATAGTACATTTTTTACAGAGCAAGGTCGCCAGCCTTGAATCCTCTCCTACAACCTGCAAGACCAGGTCCCTGTTTATGTCCCCCCGTGACCCAGTTACACCCCCAGGCACCGACTTCCCTTTCATCGCCTTTACGACCCGCAGGGCTAAGGTGAACGTATTATAACCCGCCTCCATTCGTGAAGGAAGACTATAAAATTAGTAAATATGTTTCCCTATACTGCCAAGGTAAAGAAAGTGTGGATTTATGCAACCACTCCCCCATATGCCTTACCGTAGTGCCATATGGCGTAATGTTTAATTAGTTGAGCACAAGGACAGCTTCACCTTTTCATTTCTCTGTACAGAATATTGTCTCCTGGGATGCGATGCAGTGTAGTCTGGCAGTCCACCGTTGTTTCGGATGAACGTATTGATTCCGTCTTCAGGGAAGAAGCGTAACAGTAATAAGGAATCAGCTAACAAATCGCCTGAAATTATAGTGATTTAGCAGACTACACGGCATCACGTTAGTCTTCGTCGAACGTTAAATTTTAAGTTGGGTTCGAGTCGCTGAACATCGAGAAAGGATTTCAGTGATAATATAACACGGCAGAGTATTTACTTTGACATAAAATATTCTGTAAGAATGTATCTTAGCGTGTTTAGTGTCTAGTCTTGGGACTCTCCGAAATACAGTCTGCGACCTCTGTATTTGGGGATCTATTTTGTATATTTATTTCTTTTGGGGGTTTATTTAAGGATGACATCAATCTCAGACTACATGGTTTCGAATGGTAGGATGGTAGTGAACGATGAATCGAAAAGTGTATGACAGGAAGTGGTCGTGGGAAGGTTTAGAGCTATATCCCTATATTTTCCTGCAGGGAATGAAGAGAATCACGAAAAAACTCATGATAATCGGTGAACCAGCTGAGATACGAACCGGGCACCTCCCGGAAATCTTACCTCATGAGACATCTCGCTCGGTGAGACTGGAGGGCGCGCGCATGGGACCGCCATCTTCCCCTTAAATCCTTTGATGTATTGGCTGCATAAAGTCAGGCGCCTCTCCCCTTGCTCTCGCCTGGGAGCGATGAACGCGGATGGGGAATTCTTCTAATGAAAGTGTGGCAGGAGGTATAACTTGTAGGATTTGTCACGTGCATGGAGAGCCTTGTGACGCGCATAGTAATATATATTTCGAGAAACGTTAAGTGACGTGCTACGTTAAAAACAGATTTACGTTGGCACTACAAGACAGTCGCCATGATTTACGAGGCACGTGAAATGTCTGAATTATTCATGACTGTGTTCGTAGTAGTAGGATTTTAAAGGGCGCATTTCTGTAATTGCGTGATACAGAATTCCTGTCTACAGATCCATAGGTCCCGGGTTCGATTCCCGGCGCTACCAGATTTTCTGAGAAGTAGTGGGTCTGGAACGGGGTCCACTTAGTCTCGTGAGGATAATTGAAAAGCTATTTCAAGGAAGTAGCGGCTCCGGTCTAGAAAACCGAGATTAACGGCCGTGGCAATCCGTTACGCTGACCACGTGACACCCTCTATGCGCTAAAGTTGGCACTAAGTTCGCCGACAAGCGGCGGTCGCTCGGGCGGTATAGTTCGCTTGCGGAATAAAGCCACGGAGTTTTGTTTCTCATTTTATTCCATTTCTCTCTTTACATAGCGAACATAATGGCGGAGAGGCTGCTACGCCGGTTTCGTATTTTGGAAGTCCCAAGTTAAAATCTCAGAAACAAGATCTGCTTCAATGCCTGAATTTTGTTGACGTTTCACTCCGTCCCTTTAGGGAAGCACCAGGATAAACCCTCATGGTCTCCTCATTCTTTATCCTTTCCAATTCATTATTCACGATGTTATACACTTAATGTGAGAAAGCGAATTTCACACTAATACAAAACAACTAGTAAATTTTAGTTTTGCATATTAAGAGAAACCCCATATGTTCTCACTCTACGTAAAAGGTAGAAAAATAGGCAAATTTATCCCTGTAACAGGCCGTGGAGGCCCATAGGGTTGTGAGACGTCGAGGCTCCCACATTTTTTAGACAGTCGGCTCACAGATGGCGGTGAGGTTGTGAAACTTACGCGCCGGCCGCCCTTTACCTCCAGGAAGATTCCTGGTACTCTTCTCTGTCACAGGCTGAGTTGACCCCAAGGCCATAGTGAGGCTGGAAGGCTTAGGTCAATTGAAAAAGCCAGTGACCTCATCGGGAATCGAACTCGCGACCACTCGGCTTGTAGCTTGTGCCTCAACGAACTACGCTACCATTCGCCCACCACCTCAGTCTACGTAGACACACAAACAATTAAGTCTAATATGAAGGTAGAAAGGGAAATACCTACGGATTCAGAACGAAGCTCTTGTGAGTCGTGTACGGCATGCCTGAGTACGTGTATTCAGGTTGGCTTATTCGTTACGCAGAAAATGTTTTCAGTTTTATTTATAATTGAGTCACCTTTTTTACGGTATCGACGTTGGATAAGATCCCTTCCGTCTACGGCTTGAAATCCTACCTTCCGTGGGCCGAAGGCTGATCGGTATTATCTTGGGATACGAGACGCCAAACATTTGACTCTGTGTTGCAGTAGCTCGAAGGTCTGAGGTTGTGCCCTTTGTGTATTGTGCTCTAACTGCTCGAGGTCTTTCCCAATGAGGTCTTCTAAAATATTTAAAGAGATCGCTTGCTACCTGCTTCACGCTGGTGCTTGAACCTTTTTGCGACCCTGAAGATGAAGAAGTCATATTCCTCCGAAACGGACTACACGCCGTTATGCCCAGAAGATAACAGCTCTTCATAACGACTGCTGTGTCAATCTTAGATCCTACATAACGAATTTAAGTTCGATTTGAGGCTGTCATAACGGCGCCACGTCCCAGAAAATAGTACCATTAAGGGATTTAAATCGAGACTGTGGTGGCCATCCTGTGAAAAGGACATATGGATCTTTAGTTTCAACCAGTACTCTCATAGGGACTGTGGTGGCCATTCTGTGAATAGGACATATGGATCTTTAGTTTCAACCAGTACTCTCATAGGGACTGTGGTGGCCATTCTGTGAATAGGACATATGGATCTTCAGTTTCACCCAGTACTCTCATAGGGCACGTAATATGAATGGGAGAATTCCGATTTTACATTCGAAACGGAAGATATTGTCACGTGTATCCGGGGTAGCGTGACTAATAATTGTGGAGTCTAGATTTGATGCCGTCCCTGTCACAGTTACGCTCTGCTATAACAGTTCACACACACAGCTCCTTGTGGATACGGAACCCTCTCAGCGCATCTCTGCTTCCTTCTCTGCCGAGTCACCTCTCCTTCCGGTAATGAACCTTCGGGTTCCATAGGATGATGGGAAGTTCTGGAGTCAGTGGGCGATTGAATGTAATGGGGCTCGCAGTAACGTAGTTGGTTGAGGCACTGTACTACAAGCCGGAAAGTCACGGTTTCTCTTCCCGATGAGGTCATAGTTTTTTTTCAAGTGACCTAATCCTTCCTGCCGCACTATGACCCTGGGGTCGCCTCAGCCTCAGACAGAAATGAGTACAAGGAATCTTTTTTGTGGTAAAGGCCGTCGGCTGGAGCGTGAGGTTGACAACTTCACCGCCATCTGTGAGCCGACTGTCTAGAAAATGTGGGAGCCTCGACGTCTCACAACCCTATGGGTCTCCACGGCCTGTTACAGGGCTGGCTTTACCTTTTTATGCATAACTTATCCATCAATCACCGAGCAATTCATGTGCTGTAACTTACTAAATGTTTCAGTTGGTATCAAGCGGCCTGTGACAACTGTATGTAAATGTTGCAGCCCTGGTTACCGGGACCACAATTCCTATTGGGTCGGAGCTTCGGATAAAACCTATGAAGGCGATTTCCGGTGGTCGGACGGGCTTGCTTTTTCCTACACCAGTAAGTATCACAGGAAGTAAATAATATTTAAGATTTTTACATTTGTTGATGTGATTATTGGTCTCCTTTATAGTGACACCGTGTAGTATAGGAAAGGTCCGCCGTTTCGGAGGCACCAGCTTACTTCAAGAAGGCGATGACAACTACAACCAGAATATTGCCCAAGTTTAGTTGTTTCATATCTCCTGGTCCTTTATACGTGCTTGGTTTTTCTGTTCAGGCAGGCACAATAGGCTTTATTGGAGAGAAGACACAACATGAAAGACCTAAGGGTAGATAGAAAGATAGAATTGAAATAACCGAAACCAAACGTATCGGAGACTGGATTCTGTCTCCGCCTTCAGGTAAAACCTACTCAGTTGGGCCCAATCGATAAAACTAGTCCCTATCTCTGGACCGTAGACAGAATCTTGTCTCCGAAACGTTGTGTTTTGAAAAGTAAACAGGACGGGATTTAGATAAAGACAAGACGAAGGATAACGTCCAGAAACACAATATTTGTACTGATGTACCGTCGTCACAAACTTTTAGATATTATTACACAGCAGGGCTTATCATTCGTTTGCACCGCGATAACTGCTGAGCCACCGGAGCTGGACATGTGAAATTTGTGTGAAGTTACTTCACAGATATACATACAAGTTTTGTATTATATATTATTTACGTCAAGCTATCTCAGTGATAGTGCGCGGAGGTCCGTAGGGTTGTGAGACGTCGAGGCTCCACATTTCATTAGATAATCGGCTCACAGATGGCGGTGAGGTTAAATATTGTTTATGTATAAAGAATTATAAACATGGCGAGGTGTGGAATATTTGAGGTTATGTCCGACAAACTTAATGATGTTTGAACAGTCACTTAAGCAAATTATGCACAGAAATCGTTTAATGCTGCTTGACAAATCATGTACAGTATAGAGATATCGAAGTAAATTAATCATTAATAGTTCTTTCCAGAATGTCATGTTCAGTAACCGTCGTAATTACATCGGAGGCCTGGAATTGGCAGTCTCATGTTGTGTGTTTTACTTATCGGATTCAGCGTCATCTGGATGGTCGTGCAACCCTTCGCATCGTAATTCTGGGAATTGTAATTGTAATTCCCCCAGTGTTCATTTGGATCAAAGTTTTTACATTAACACTATTTTCATTTGTGTCGTTATGCAACCGTGGCACTGACACGCTGCTTTTCCTGCGGGGGAAAACAAATGAAACATGAACAAGCATAACAGAACTCACGGTCACCTGATTCGCCCTCCCCCACCCGGTTTCAGTGTCTTCAGTAATTTAAGAATTCACCCATCCTGTGTCCCTGTAACAGGCCCTGAAGACCCTTAGGATTGTGAGATGTCGAGGTTCCCACATTTTCTAGACAATCGCCTCGCAGATGGCGGTGAGGTCAGCCATACGCCCCTGCAGCCATTTACCCACTTGAAGATCCCTGGTATTCATTTCTATTAGAGGCTGAGTCGACCCTAGGGCCATAGTGCGACTGGAAGGAGTAAAGACTTACTTTAATATGAATAGCCGTGCCATAGGTCACGCGGTTATTCGCCGGTTTCCTACCTCGACGGACCGGGTTCGAGTCTGGGTCAGGTAATGTGGGATTTGTGGACAAAGTGGCACTGGGCAGGTTTTCTCCTAGTACTTCGGTTTCCCCTGCCAATTTGCGTTCCACCGACTGCTCCACAGTCATCATCTGTCATATGGGGCTGGTACAATAGGGCAAACAGCCGCAGTATCGAGTGGACTGTCTCACCCCATGACAGACTACAGGCCTTACAGCACAAAATAAGTGATCTGCATTGCTGGAGCTGCGAGCGCCCTGCACCTCACGTATGCTTCTCTTCAGAATATGTTACCGCGAACGGGGGAGGGAGGCCAGAAGTTACACGTATTTTGTAGTTCGGAACTTAAAACAAGCTTCTCTGAGATTCTTTCCCAGAGCACGTCTCAGGTGGGAGTGATTCAATTTGCGGTAGAGACCCAAGAGTCAAGAGGCGAATCCACTGCACGGTTTTGTTCACAAGCATCAGACCACTTCAGTGTAGTATATACCGTAGGCGCTTCTTTCCACTTGAAGTGGTTACGTTAACTAGAAAACTGCTTTCAAAAGTCTTCGCATAAATATAAAGTTATATTTAATCAAACACCAGTGGATATACGTGGTGGAGTCATTAAATTCGTGGACTGTGGTTTTATCGCATCATATTACAAGGCATTCACATACACTTACGCAGATCCACATCGGCCCTCAGAATAGTTGCCGTTGGCCGCTATGCAAGTCTGCCAACGTTGATATAGCTGTCGAAAACATTGCTGAAACATATTGGCAGGAAATTCCCGTACGACGCTTTGCGGCCATTCCACGAACTTATTGACTGGTAGTATAACCTCATGCATTCTTTACCTCGTCGCTAGATGTAGGCGGGAGGTTTCACTCCCTGATCTCTTTAATCCTGGGGAGAAACTTCATCTGCTTGCTCGTCTGGTTTAGTCTCTGATCCTATCACGTGACCGTCTCGTCGATTCCTTTGTGTGTACTCTGTGGTACGTCTGATAAAGCCAGTGATTTATTGTCTGCTTGAGGACGCTGTCGCCAACTCAGTTTATGTAACCTGCAATGATTGGATAGTAGTGAACTGGAAGGTATTTAGAGATGCCTGGAAGCAGCGAGGAAAACCACGGAAATTCGGTGTCCCGACCCAGGTTGGAACCTGGCCTCTCGCAGTATCAGTCTGAAGCTTTGCCGCTAGGGCCGATCATGCTTGTGCTATACAGACTGTGTTACCTTGACCTGTTGAAGGGGTCCACTCTCCGTATCTAGAGAGGGTGTATAAAAAGCATGTTTCATGTTGTGTCAAATGCTGTTTATAGCAGAGTGACGAACAAAAGAGTCTTTTTGTTGGGCGGATTGTAACCACGTGACACCAGTAACAAGGACACCGTCGGTGATTGATGGCGTCACAGTGACGTGTCAGTATGTAAAATGTGTAGGCGGAACGCGATGTCATATATACACAACATGAATTCGGTGTTTGCAACCAAGTTCGCTGCTGATGCGTTTAGACTATACTGCTGCTACGGAAAGATGCCCCGCGGATGGGTGGGGCGAGACTGCTGGATGCTTCAGCACTGTCCTTGCCGCTCCGCCCCTGAGGGAGCCGTACCACTCTTCTCTAGTCCTTCCACTCCCCCTCTGTGGAGGCTTCCCTCTCTCTGCTCTCTCTCCACTCCATTCTCCCATCGGGAAAAGCTTCCCTCTCTCTGCTCTCTCACCCCTCCACTCTCCTTTCTGGAGAAGTTTCCCTCTCTCTGCTCTCTCACCCTCCACTCTCCCTCTGGGAGAAGGTTCCTTATCTCTACCTTCTCGTCCGTCCACTTTCCCATTGAGAGAAGCTTCCCTCTCTCTAGTCTCTCACGACTCCACTCTCCCTCTGGGAGAAGCTTCTCTCTCAGGGAGAAGCTTCTCTCTCACTCTCTCTCCCACTCTCTCTCTGTCTCTGTCCCCCACCCCCACCCTGTCTAGCATACAACAAGCACCAAAACACCTGCCTGTCTTATTTATTTTGTGATGTTCTTCTGCCTGTCTTATTTATTTTCTGATGTTCTTGACGATTCATCCAGTATGTCGGTTCACACTCCGCTCGGAATGCCCGTGGAGTGTGTAAACAGATCATCGACGTCAGGTGATGTTCTAGACCTGTATTCGGTAGGCACTCTGTTCGAATCTGGGCCGGCACACTCGCAGTCTTGAGGTATTTTATGGCTTTTCGCAGTCCATTCAGGCTTATGAGAGACTGTGGTCTAAAATTAGGTACTGACCGCTTCTTTCTGTATTGTTTCCAATTCATTGCTCACCGCCATCCAATTGTTCGCTCCCGTCCCCGAGGCAAATTCTTGGATATATTATTTAGATTAGGCCACAACCACTTCCTTCCAAATTCTTTTCAGTTCATCGTCTGTCATCCTATGGTCTAAGTGCACACAGCAACATTGAATAACCGGCAAGAAAAGAAAACGGTACAGCTATACAGAGTCCGAGCTTATCTTCTGATTCCCACAGACTGTTGCAGGCTATGCCAAGTTTGGTAGGACAGGCTGAATGCGAACAATGTGCAGGAATCAACATTAGATATTTCTAACATGCAGTCAACGGTTCTGAAACTTTTGCGTAGAGTACATAGTTACATTTTTCTTTGCATGTACACATATTTCTGTAGAGTATAAATCATTTCTGCTTCGTGTGGTTTGTGGAAAAATGTCCTCCAGTGGGTTACTTCGTGAGTTGTGGGGTGTGTAAAGTGGTAAAGGTTTAGGGGATGTTACAGACTGATTCGTGAGACGTTTTATTACGCTGTTGTACTTGGTGGAGTGAACTTTCTTAGTATATGAAGTTTATGTTTTGTTAATGTTCCAAGCGGGAATCTCATTCCCCGTAAGACAGACTTCCCATATCTCCCTCTTGCCACAAATTCATTTCATTTCAACTTGGTTAATTAATTTCCCTAATTACTTTCACGTGAGTTTAACACTGTAAGGAGGGAACGCCCCCCACTTGTCTTACTTTCTTTAACCCCATTCCCCTGTTGGTAGCGGAAATAAACCACAAGGTAGGATTTCAGACAAGCCGATCACAGTGGCCCTGCGGTCTAAGGCATTAACCGTCTTCACCCGCTCTAAAACTGTGGTCGTAGGTTCGAATACCACCCAAGGCGTGGATGTCTGTGTGCTTTCATTGTGTTTATGTTGTCCTGTGTGTAGGTAGTGGCCTTCCGACGGGCTGATCCCCCGTCCAAAGAGTCCTACCGACTGTGTATAGGATTAAGGAACTGGAAAAGGCGGCCAAGGTCCAAAGGGCTGAAGAGCCACATACGTATATAAGAAGAATTTCAGGATCTGTATACGCTGAATTTGTGATTCGCCCTGAAAAAAGGACGTAATGCGTTCATCCTAAAGGTGGATTTCTGTCCCAACTACACGGTGTTTCAACCCAGAAGACCACCGTTTCTAAAGACAAGGCAAACGTTTTTGTCGAGTAACATTACTTTAGGGGACCGCATTGCTTCATTTTCGTAAGAGTAGTGAGAATTTTCCCCAGGTGACTAACGCTGACTACAGGGAATTCATGTCTCTTCTTATATCTGCATGTTTATTCTTGGAAAGTAGTCACTACCAGAGTAAATAGATCTAATGTTCATCTACGTCTGTTCAGTTTGGACCTAGATATTGAGATGATAATAATAAAAAAGTAAAAAAAAAAAAGTAAAGCTATCCCTGTATCAGGCCATGAAGGCCCATAGGGTTATGAGACGTTGAGGGTCCCACATTATCTAGACCAGGCATGTCAAACTCAACTTGTACAGAGGGCCACCTCAGCCCTATAAATAATAGTCCAGGGCCGCACTTCAAAATAGAAATATACATTAGATTTTGATACAAGGAAATTTAATTCTATTTATTATTTAGGAATGATTTCAATATAATTACTTAAAGTCACATATCTTACAGTTTTAAAAAGCAAGAGAATGTCATTTTTGACAAGTATCAAACAGCTTTTCAATATGTAAAAAGAGAGATTACACAAGAAATTATGTTAGAAATAGCAAAACATTGAATTTCCTGCAGCCTGCTAATTTATGTCTGCTTGAGACTTCTTGTCTTCTAGTCTGTTGGAAAATTGTCTTTACAAATGTATTTCTATTAAAATTTTAATATTGATTTTAATATCAATTAGTTCTAAAAGTGGAGGGGCCACACTTTGTGGCTATGGGGGCCGAATGTTTGACACAGCTGATCTAGACAATCGGCTCAAAGATGGCGGTAAGGTTGTCAGCCTTACGCGCCGGCCGCGCTTTACTCCCCAGGAAAATTATTTAATTAATTTCTGGTACTCATATCTGTTAGAGGCTGAGTCGACCTCAGGGCCATAGTGCGGCTGGAAGGAGTAGGTCAATTGAAAAAAAAAATCCAATGACGTCATCATAGCCGAAGAAACTACAGTCTCGTCTCTATAATGCAGGACGAAACAAAACAGAGAAATGGGTAACAGTTCCTATGAAAACGCGAAAAACTTCCGATATTTTGGAAACGATTGTAACAAATGGAAATTGTATTTCTGAGACAGTTAAGAGCGGATTAAATTCGGGTGGTGTTAGTACAGTTCAGTTGAGAATCTTTTGTCTTCTAGTCTGCCATCTGAAAACATAAACAATAAAATTTAAAACATGGGCTATATTTCACTAGTCTTTGCCTGTATTGTGCAACCGTGAACTAACTTAGAAAGCCGCTCTAAAGAACATCATACCTTGGGCCAGCCCAATATATAAAATCATATATTATAGCCTTGATTACGAGTGAAATACAGTGTGATTCTAAACTATTATCGGGGTTTCCGTGGCCTATAATTTTCAAACCAGAAATAACAAAATAAAACTCCTTAGGAGTGTGAAAATGTAACTTAAAACGTTTTATTTGGCACGTAATAAAACTTTTTTTTTTTGGCTTAGTGGGTGGTGGAGTCCAACTTGGTCCACTCGGCACGGCGGCCACTCATTGGCCTATTGTAGCCTGCCCCGGGTGATTATGATGATGAAGAATTTGGTGGAATGAAGATTGGCAGGGGAAACCGAAGTAATCGGAGAAATCCCGCCTCAGCGCCACTTTGTCCACCACAAATCCCACTTGACCAGACCCGGGATCCAACCCGGGCCGCCGCAGTGGGAAGCAAGCGACTAACCGCTTGAGCTATGGCTCGGCCAAATCTAACTTTTTGAGTTACATTTTCACCTTCTCTAAACAGTTTATTTTTTATTTTATTTTATTTTTTTTTTTTCCGGTTTGAAGATTATAGGCCACGGAAACCCCGATAGTAATTTAGAATCGCCCTGTATCTCTGCCCGGTGTAGATTTAGTTTGTGTCACTTATAGACTCGGTTTATATCTCCATTACCATCCCTCCATATGCTGCAATGAGCAATACAATTTCCTCTATTTCAGGCAAACTTTTCTCGACGCGTCCAAGTAGTTAGTTATTTAGAGAGGGTGGGTTTCCGCATGCACCGCGACCAGTTTGATCTATTGTGCTTCCCTCTATGATATTCTACCAGTCTCTATACCCTACCGATAAATGGTGCGTACGATCAGTCCCGCCGAGCAAGCGAGTTCGGACACTTGCTTAGCGGTGTCTATAATGCTTCCCCCATCTATCGGAGGCCTTAGAGTCTATTGTTGGGCGGGAAACGTCCTGGAATTTGGCTCGGTGATCCCATTTGGGGATATGAGGTTCTTTTACGTGCCGTAAAGTTATTACATAAGCGCATTTTCCACGCTTGAGATACGCAATGTGCTTCTTGCAGACTGGTTCCCAGGCTGGACGCAACACAGCCAGTACAACCGCCAGCCGAATGATGACGGGTACAGTGACCAGGACTGCGTGGAGCTCCGCCGAGTGTATCATTTGCCGTCAGGGAACCAGAGACTCGCCCACTCGTTCATGTGGAACGACCGTGATTGCGCAACGCCAAACCTCTTCCTGTGTGAACGTCTCCGCACCGGGGGTAAGCACATGTAAAACACATGCACTGGAATTTACCCTGAAAATGGGGGCAGCACGTTCCTCCGAAACGTTCATTGCTAACAACAAAATTTCAAGACATAAAATTATAATTGTAGCATTCTGTTGCGCTTTCCCCTTAGTGTTAATTAGTTCTGACCGCCTCTGTGGTCTAGGTTTGACTACAGATCCAGAGGTCCTTGGTTCGATTCCCGGCGCTACCAGATTTTCTGAGAAATAGTGGGGCCTGAACGGAATCCACTCAGCCTCGTGAGGATAATAGAGGAGCTACTTGAATGGAAAAGTAGCGGCTCCGGTCTAGAAAACCGAAATTAACGGCCGTGGGGATTCGTTGCGTTGACCACGCGACATCCTTTATCCGCAAAAGTTGGCACTAACTTCGCCGACAAGCGGTGGTCTCTCGGTCGGTATAGTTCGCTTGCTGACTAAAGCCACGGAGTTTTTTTGGTTTTTTAATTAGTTCTACAGTCGTGTTGTGCAACAGTTTATTAAAACTTATTAAAAGTTTCGACCAAAGTGTTAACAGTTGTGGGTGAGGACACTCTGCTGTCTTTCTGCGTTCATGTTTAATTGTTGGTTGATGTATGGTTCCCCGAGTGCCGTATGTGTGTATTCCTTCTTGCTGTGTTATGCTCCTTGTTTCCAACTGCGCTAGGGCAACAGCACGTCAACAACTGCACGTCAGCAAGGAAAGACAGCAGTTTCCTCACCCACAACTGTTAACACCTGACGATGACCACTCTGGTAGAAACTTTTAAGGTGACTAACTTTCAGTAAGTTCTAACTGCACACTGGAGCAAAGCGTCGCCAAGCCGAATAGGTGCATCTGCACATTTCTGGGGATGAAACTAGACCCTGTTTCCAAAATGTTTCAGAATATGAAATAACTTAAGAAGGCCAGAAACTTGACGAGTGAAATATACCATCGCCAAAATGCTTCAGAATTGAAGAATGTAATTATTTGCCGAAGCGTGACTTACCCCGTTTGTATGCACAGTAACAATTAAGGAGGTGTGGCCACCAGAATGCAACCGGTCTGTGACGTTAAGCAGAGAGCAGCCCCGAGTCACTGTAGTGAGTCCTGGGTTCCCTCACCAGTACCCAGACAACGCAAAGTGTGACACTGAGGTAACTGCGCACGCTGGGTACCGACTTCTTGTTGACTTCGAGGAGCTTGTCTTGGAGAAGGAGCCATAGTGAGTACAGCTTTATCTTGTCTTCTTTTTGATGTAGCTGACAACGCTCTGCTGCTTTCTTCATATTAATAAGGGAGGCAAGATAGCTTAGTTCATATAGTGACCAGGATATTGACTTGACAACCAAGGAACTTAGGTTTGATTCTGGGAAGAGCAAGGGTTTTTTCCTTTCTCTAGAACGCCCATATTAGCACTGCGGCGCACGCAACCTTCTGTCATAACGGCACCAGGAGCTCTAACCCCATGGTTAAGCGTGCATGAAGCTGTACACCTGCACTCCAGATATTTTTTCATGAACCGAAATTAATGGCCCTGGGGATTCGTTGCGCTGACCACGTGACACCCTCTATCCTCTAAACGTTGGCACTAACTTTGCCGACAAGCGGCTGTCGCTCGGTCGGTATAGTTCGCTTGCGGACTAAAACCACGGATTTATTTTTGTTTGTATGGTGCTTGAGTAAACATAGGGACAACTTTGCCGTTACATGTATCTTGAGAACCGTTCATCACTAGTTTTAACAAATGTTTCGGTATACAGCAAATAGAAATGTTAATACTTTGATGTGTAATCAGTAACCAGAGTACAAAACTCAATGATTCTTGGGGGTATGCCACATTTTTTTCTTTTTGGAAAATTATTATGTCTGAAAGTCTTCTGGTTTGGAAATGGTGAGTGAACACCAAAATTACGAACGATAGGTTTATGAAAATGAATATATGGGAAAGCTCTATTTGTACAATATAAATACGAATGGAAATATTAAAATCCCTATGCAGGTGCCAGGGTAGTAGGCCTACCTTGTATTGGTTCACAGTTCCCTCACCCTGATCCTTTGCACCATGTTATTCATTGTGCGGCCCATCATTCAGCGCTGTGCAATCAGAGTTATTAAAATTATCATTAACTAAATTAATTAATGCACTTTGTACAAAGAACCTATAAAAATGTGTTGTATGTCATGCTGACAGTTGCAGCTATGACTACTTGGAGATCTTCGAGAGTGTTCCTGGCAGCAATTCTAGTGGCGAGGCCACCCAGAAACTTTGCGGAGATTGGAGCTCAAAACTCAAGCTCCTCCGGTATGTGAGCCGTGGGCCCCAAATTCGATTGCGCTTTGTGTCTGACTATTCCCATCATTATGGAGGCTTCAAAGCTAAAGTTTCTATGGAGAATGGTAAGCAAATGGCAGACTTGTTATGCATTGGAATGATATGTTGTGATGGGCGTCTTGTTTTGAAGGGTCAGTTCCTCTGTTCGCCCATAACTATGTAATGGAAGAGGTTTTTGCACAACATAGAAGAAAATTATGCATATTAAAATGGTCATGTCTGTCCATCTGTCTGCATGTTTCAATTTGAGAACTGCTTAATGAATTTTGATAAAATTTGATATGAACACTGCGTCACCAGAGTCCAATTGGAATTTGTACTTTGAATTTCCTACATTCAGTAATAGCAACATGGTGGACACATGAGTATTTGAGGTGGGAGCAACGCTAATACTTCTATTAAAATACGATAACTATGATACCAATCGGGAATTGGGATGGCTCAGTCAGTATAGCAGAAGGTTGTGGACTGGATGGCTGAGGTTTGACTCCCAGCAGGGGAAAGAGATTTCTATCTCCTCCATAATGTCCAGAGCAGCTCTGGGGCCCACCCAGCCTCGTGTATGATGGATACCAGTGTCTGCTTGCCAGGGGCAAAGCGACTGAATCCCTAAAGTGACCACCTAGTACCAAGGTCAGGAATGGTGGGGCGGTACCTCCCCTCCCACACATGTCTTTATGGTATAGTGTTTAATTAATTAGGAGCAGAGGCAACTTTGCCTTATCTTTATGATAACAAGAGAAAGCACGCGATGATGATGATGGTGATGGTAGGAATTGTAGTGATGATTAGTGACTATAATAATTATGTCTTTATTTGTCTTGAAGTTCTGAGGAGATAAAATAAAAACAAAAAAAAAAAATCAGTTCTCAATCAAAATTTGACCCAATGTTTCCAATTTATGATGCATCAAGACACCCGTGTATTCTACATTGAAAACTCAGCACGGTCTCTTTAAAATTTTATACTTTAGGTGAAGAGTTTAAACCTGGTGTCAGGGTTTTTAAGCACAAATCTGTGTACATAAATAAATACCGAAAATCAGAGGTGAAAATATTGGGTCTTTCGAATCATCTTGCCTTGCTGAATGTACATAGAATATATGCATATGCTTGTCTTGTTCATATGTGGGCCACAGCATCACAAAGTGTCTGTCATTTTCGAGTTTCTACATTACTTCCTTTGTTTCCTGTGGGATGCCGTTTTGTTCGTAACAGCACAAGGTGTCGGCAGTTCCAAATACAATTTGCTTCCATATGAGAGGTATACAACAAACAGAAATGTGAAAATCAGGTTCTCATGACATTGGCTGGGAAAATTAAATGCCTTCTGGGGTGTGGCAAGTGTAGTCCGATAGACATTTATCGTCACAGTAGGGGAACCTGCAGCATCCCTCTTTAAAACACCATCCTCCGATGAAGATCAGATGAGGCAAGTAATAGGTAGAACTGACTGACCATTCTACTGTTCATTCAGAACCCACTGAGCTTCAGTAAGAATTATCCAAATATCATGCCAATTTTCTTTCAGCTGATACTGTGTAAACAGGCAGGCCTTGGCAATTTCTTAACCTTCTCTTCATTGGAGGACTGTAGAAGAGTAAATTGTATATGTAAAAATGTAGTTTGGATATTAAATTTATTTGTTCCGAGAATCCATATTTGGAGTTACAACCTCCAGATATAGAACAAGTCAATTATTACATATTAATACATATTAATATCATACATGAGCCAGCAATACTATGAAACTTAATTACCTACAGATTTCATACAAATCAATCAGACAACACATGGTCCCACTTTCAGCAATTCAATACCAAAAGAAACCTAACATCCAACATTTTCTTTTATTGATTAAGTGAGGACAAGATATTTGTCATAACATAAAACCATAACACACTCACTTCAGAATTTTATGGACTAATTTCATCAACAGAATAAATGGAATGTTTCGACAGCAAAGATTTTAAGTTCATCTTAAAAGAGTTAAAATTTTTATTAATTTTATTTGCTGAGGGACCAAGGCGATACCCATATTTATAACTTTTTTTTTAAAAGAACGGCATTGCAATGATTTACATGTAAATTTAGTTTTCTTTGTGTGTTGTAATTATGTATGTCTACATTGTTTGCCATAAAGTCTTTATATTTTTTAATAAAACATATCACATAAAAAATGTACAGCGCTGCCAATGTTAAAATATTATAATCTTTAAAAATTTGTTAGCATGACGTTCGGTTATTAACCCCACTGATAATTTGAAGGACCATTTTTGCAGTTTTAAGAGTTTGTCACATTCGTTATCCCCTCCCTATAATATAATACTGTACTGCAGACAGGACTCAAAATTTGAAAAGTAGATATAAGGACTGGGGCTCATGGTAGTGAGGTTAGTCAGGAGTGAAACAATGGCTCTAGAGCCACTTGTGACCTCCCACAAGAACACAGAAAATAGTGAAGAAACTCTATAGTATGTGCCTGAATTGTACGATAAATGTTACTGTGGTGTGGTGTATTGTGACACTGTTTTGCCAGTAGTCAATGTGAACTGTATGTTTCGTCTTTCTTTCTTACCCTTATCTGGATGTCTTTGTTTACCTAACTGAAGTACGCCCACATTCAAAAGGTAAGTTTTCATGAGTCCATATTTGGATCTTGAATCATAGCTTGTTAATTATTTGTATGTGTTCCACTGCTTTCTTAGGTGTTCTTATTGTAAACTGTGTCAAAAATAGTTTTTAGGGTCCACTATACTGTGAGTAGGCAACATTATGGAAGGAAAATCATCAGTTGTTTTAAGAAAAGATTTTATCATTAAAAAACGAGTAATAAGATGGTGTTTTAAAGTTCAGTGGCTAAAATTCTAATCATTGTGTTATTTTTTAAAATAATGCTGATCATGGATTTTGACTATTTTTTTTTTATTCCTCAAAATTTTCTCGCTTCTTTTCAACCCTCCCTGAATCTCCCTTGACACACCTGTGGATCCTTTGTGTCACACCAGTTGAAAATCGCTGGCTTAGGTCATGTAATGTCAATATGGTGGTTAATAAGTAATAAGTAATGAACTGGAAAGAACGTGGAGAGAATCACCCATGCCTTTAGTTGATGTACAAACCTGGAATTTGACTGGAGGGACTGAGGAAAATCATGAGAAGTATGTCAGGATAGTTTCTTTTCAGTTCAAATTTGCACCCAAGGTGACTCTAATGATGGTGATGAGTAGAAATTGTGAAGCCGTTGTTATGCCGTTTTCTTCAGGCTTCTTCTTACGAAAATGATGACTATTATTTTTCAAGACACGAGGGAGAGTCAGTAAAACGTAAAACATGTGATATTCCAACCTCGAAACTATATTTATTTCTCGATATATCCTCAACCAGCATTGATACACTTGTCCCACCGCTTTTCCAATGCATCGAAACCCACAGCATAGAAGTCTTTTGACTGATGTCTCAGACACTTCTGCACCTCCATTTCAACCTCATCATCATCAGCGAAACCTTTGCCACCCAATTGTGATCGACTTCATGCGACAGACACTTCCCACCATAAACAGGAAACATTTCTTTATGAATGCCTTTTTCATTGAGTCCATCCTCGCATAAAAACGCACAACAGAATGCTACTCTACTATAATACACTCCTGAAGCATTGTCACCATTTTGACTACTGAAACCAAGCTCTGAACACGCGCATGCGTGTCTGTTACCTAGACTATCATGAAGCTGGACTGTGCTGCTGCCTAGTGATACATGTAGAAAACATATTACATCCATTACAGTTGTATTACTTCCATTTGTGACCTATTTACTGACTCTGCTTCGTAGATGACTTTCGTATCAGGAATCGAATCAGGGTCCTGTTGAATACAAAGAATGTCTTATTAGGATCCCAGATTTGTCCTGAAACTTCCAAACCTGAATATTTGCAGATCCTTATGACAGTGACTCAGAGAATTGCTGTATTCTTGGATGTGACACCATATAGTGTGGTACCCGGTTACCGACGTTTTAGAGGAACACGCTGCCTCCCAAACATCAGTAAACATCTATCACATTGTACAGTGTCAAATACCAGAGTACAGTAATTCTCTTTTAGGATGTTAGGTTATGTAGACCTGTAGAAGTTTCAGAGGACCAAATCTCCTCCATCTCCGGGCTCTAAGAGTAAGCCAAGCAATAAGCAGTAAGCATAACTTGGAACGTCACGTCCAGCTCTGAAATAACAATACCATGCCTCAGTTTGCTGGATGATTGCTTGGCTTACTCTTTGATCATCAAAATGGAAGCAGTATGCACCTGCAGAAGTGAACTACATGGCATGACATGCCAGATCCCAGATGATGGTAACTCTTTGTAATCACCACTGTGAAAACCTCAAATCCAACACAGTAATTCGTGCTTGCACATTTGTTTCAGCCTATAATATTGTCACCTTTTCTTAGTAGTAATTTGGACAATTCATTTTTTAAACCAAAATTCATTATAACATCTCTGTAATATGTGTCCCTCGATAATCTTTTTTTTTTTCCCCCTTGGCACTACAGCCCCAGTTGGCCTAGGCCTACCTCCATGAACTTCTCCGTTCACTTCGGTTTTTCTAGATCTTACACATTCGGTAGGACTCCTTGGGTGGGTGATCAGCTGGTCGCAAGGCCTCTACCTGTGCACAAACACAGAAAAATGCATACACACAAACTAAACATCCATGCCTTGTGTTGGATTCGAACCCACGATCCCGGTTTCCAAGCGAGCGAAGACAGTACATGCCTTAGACCGCTCGGCTACCGTGACCAGCCCCTCTTAATAATCATTTTCTGTTATTAATGTATTTTGATTTTATTCAGAATAGTAGCACAGATAATTAGCTAGGGCCACATGTGCACACTCTTGTCTCCCTTGTCATCCTGTTTGTATACTAATTACAAAGAGGATTACAAGGTTTGTGTTAATGTACCGATCCATGAGCTGTCACTGTTTTCACTGATGGATTGGACACTATGCCACGTATAATTCTGCAGCTATACATGCAGAAGGGTGTGGGGAGTCACATCCGTTTTTCTGTGAAATGAAATACACTGTATTTGCAGTTTTGATTGTAAAGACAGGGTATTTCACGACTTTAGGGCATAACTGCAGGAGGTGATTTCCTAGGTCTTTGTGATCAAAAAAGTTCATATAAACGTGTGTCCGATTTTGGACGGTTACGGAGTTATGACCGTTTTAAACTCAGAATAGAAGGTAACAATTACTGACAATAAACGGAACAAAATAATAAACCAGCATAATACATGATACATTTAAAGTATGAATGTAAAGTTAACTTCGTGAAATTACCTTTAATTTGAATTGATTGGTGCTTAAAGCTGATTTTCGAAAATGCTACTGCCGGCCGCAACACAGGCTGCCGCTTGGTTGTGAACCGTGCCGGATATACCAACCCTCCCCGCCTTAGGTACATCTCAAGTGTCGAGATAACGAGAGCGCTCTATCTGTAGCTGGCTAAAAATAGCGACTCGCCAGCTGACAGACGCGGTTCACACGAGGGCGTGTACGGGAATGAAAAAACGCTCATAACTCCGTAACCGTCCAAAATCGGACACATGTTTATATGAACTTTTTTGATCACAAAGACATAGGAAATGACGTCCTACAGTTATGTCCTAATGTCGTGAAACACCCTGTATAATAGTAAAACTAAACAGTGATGTAATATAAGATATGTAATAATTAACAGTCGAAACTGTTTAATTTGATCAACTAACGTGTTCTCATGCTTTGAACTCAGCTGCATCTGCAGAATGTCCGGAATCTTTCTTCTATAGATTACTCGTATAACTCAGTATTTGGCTTCAGCGAATATGAATATATTTAGATGAATATGGTAAAATTGTAGTTGTCCTTGTGACCAAAACCTCTAAGCCAAACATTCAGAGACTTTTCTCCTTTATATTTCTTTAATGTCAGTCACCTTTCTGCATGTCCATTTCATCTCTCATACTCATATTTGCTCAACTGTCACAGGTCATGTTGCTTATTTCCAGTTTTACTTTACAGCTATTTCAGGAATACTAGAAAGAAACTTCATTCTTGCAGCTTGTTGAATCTCCTTCTATACAACTGAATAAACATGCCAGACAAAGAAATGAATTTCATAGTTTTCTTATGTTAGCCCTTATTATTCTGAATGCTTATATCTTCCATAATACACCAAGGCTTGGAACACAATTGCAAAACAGTTTTCACAAATGTTTTATTATTTGTGAATGAACAGCTTGTTTTGTGGGTAATGAGTCAGTAACCACAAGAGTTCTTTTTAAGTTACGAGGATCTCCTCAAGTTTGGAATTATTTGTTCTCAAGAAATATGTAGCCAACGATTTGTCTGTGATATTGATAAATATTTTGCAAGTGTACAAAGACAGTCCATTCAGCTCGTGGCTTGCAAGACGTTAAATGATCGAATACGACCGTTCTGTTTTATTTCCTAATTGTGCAGTTAATGGCTACTTTTTAGTTCCATAGAACAGAATACTTTTTACTCTCCTATCAGATATATAACCAAATTAATGTTAGAGAGAATATGAAATTGTGTCTGTAATATGGGAATCAAGATAGAATTTGGTCATGTAAATGAGAATGCATCCTGTGATTTTTGTGGTAGGTATGGAATGTGCTGATGACCGTCTTGAAATGTTCAACGGTTCGTGTTACTTGTTTGTCAGCTACCCTGAAGTCACATGGCAGACTGCTCAACAAATCTGTCAAGGAATGAAGGTACATAATTATTTCTGAAGCGAAATATTTATGATACTCATGTTGTTGAGTCTGTACAGTAAATACACAAATTACATAAATTCCTATATTCCAGATTTCTTTCTGACTTTATATTTTAATTGTACTTACTTACTCAACACAGAAGTAAGTACTTTCATACAGAAATAGTTTTGAAGCAAATTAAAAATTGTACTATTATAAATTGTCTTAAGAATGTAGGTATTTATCTGCCTTAATTTAGATATAAGTGGGAGAGTGTAATAAGATAATGGATGTATTTGTAAATAATAATTATATAGATAATTCAGGAGAGAAGATGGATGTTAATTGCTAAGTTTATATAGTAGTGTACTTTTTAAAAGGGGTCCCACCACATAATAACCAGGAGTTATGCAGTGAGGAGTATATTCTTTGTATGTTAAAACACAATAAAAGAACACTAGGCATATACATCTACATATTTAAGAACATTCTGCAAGATTAGAAGTGAAAGTGTTGTTCTGTATTGGTCCCTGTAGAAATTAAATTACTGATACAAATTTCCAAACACTGCTGTCACTATAGGCTGAGCTGGCAAGTATCCACAGCAAAGAAGAAGAGGACTTCGTAATTTCAAATATCCGGGACTCTACAGAGTACAGCACTAGTGCTATCTATTGGCTGGGTGGTCAACTTGTTGCGAAGTCCATTCATGACTGGGAATGGGTTGATGGATCACATTTTACTTTCTCTGGTAACGTTTTTCTTTAACAGCTCTAAAAACCATAGTCACAGCATGCAGCTAATCCATTGTCTAGCCCCATGTTTCGCAGATGTAAAGTATCTCTATCCTCAGAAATTAGCTCCAGCTAATGGCCGCAGCTGAGAAGGTTATTTACTGTAACATGGTGATGGAATCAGAGTGAGTTTCTGGAACTTTGTGCTTTTTAACCAAAAATCAACATGGTATAAAATGTACAACATTATGTGTCAATTTAATAACACACTTTTGTCATAAAACTTTGAACTTATATTAAACCTGGAATTTCCTGTTTGTAACATGCCATATATCAGTTGGTTTTTTGCAGCCCAGGAAAGTGTCCTTCATTCCCCAGAATATGTATTAACACTTCCCGCCTTCTCAAAGAATGTGGCAAATATTTTCAAAGAAACTTCACAAAAAATTCCGATCAGTTGTTATCTGTATTTTCAATTGAATTTGCATGATACCTAACAAATAATTTAGAAAAGTATGCAATTAGAATGATCTCAAGCATATATGTAATAATGAGACAATCCTGTAAATCTTTAGTGCCAACCTGACAGCACTGTTTGATGATCTCATTACACTCATCACAGTTCACTTGCTTGACAGCAAGGATTAAACACAATGTTCTCTCCGAAGAATTCTACCTTCTGTGATGTAACGCTACATAGTCCATTTAAAATCAATATGCATTTCAGAGGAACATGTTGCCTCCATCTTCAGGGTCGAAGAATAGGATAAGCAACAAAATGCCAGTGTGGAGCAGGTAACAATCAGGACCAAAGTTACATCCCAGAAGATAGAATTCTTCATAACCACCGCTGTGAGAACCTCAAATCCTACACAGTGTTCTGTTTACTGAAAAAAATATATTTATTGTGTGGTTTGCAGTTATGTACCTGAGATATGATGTGGCTCCTCAGTGGTTTAAAGTCGGACAGCCCTGTGTTAAACTATTTTATGTTCTTGTTCTTCAGCATGGCTGCCAGGACAGACACCAGCAGATTCAGATATAAGTGATTCTTCTTCTTACTCAGCAATGTGTCTAGGAATCCAGTGGATGCCATCTCCAACCCCTGCATTTCCTAGTGGCCTATATTGGCAGTCTCAAAACTGCAATGCCATTGGTGGATATGTATGCAAGAGAGGAAATCAAGGTAAAGTCCTTTTACTAAAGACTGAAGAACTCAGTTTCACTACAGTTATTAAAATTTCATCACTTCATTGTGGAATGAAATGAAATTTTCTCAAGTGGTCAGCCTTGTCAAAATGATATGGATTTCCAACATTTTAGAAACTTCTGCTGTTTACATTATTAAAGATCTTGATGGTGGAGACAGTGACAGTTCCTAGAACAGTGGAAATCCATTCCATCTTGACAAATACAGCTGAATACATAAGATGACTTCATTGTATTTGCTTGCATTAAAGCTCTGTTTCTTAATTTCTATTTAATGCAGTTAAGCTCTAGTTTACATAGGTCCATATGTATTCAACACAAAGTTGTTGTGTTACACAATTTAAAACATCACTTCACTGAAAAATGCAGTGAAGTGTTTACAGGTGGTCAGCCATCTCAAAAGAGAATAAATTTCCAACATTTTTGATGATGGAGTCAGTGACAATTTGTAGAACACTGGAAATCCATTCCCTCTTGACAAACATGGCTGACTGCATAAGAACAATTGATCACATTTATTTGCCATGAAAGCTTCAAAGCTTATATTCATTGAAGCTATCTTACTTAATTGCTTATTTAATAGACTTAAGCTCTGGTTTACAAAGGGCTATGTCCATTCAAAACCAAGTTGTTGTGGTATAGGATTCTCAGGTATATAACAGTTGTGTGTGTGTGTGCACGTGCATGCGAGTTCATTTTTTTAATAAACTTTAATTAATTAATGCTGAAAGCTGTGTTTGATATGAGCTCATATCCACTCTCTAGTGGAGTGGATTTCAACCTGTGTCACTTGAACTTCTGTCAAGTGTGCCATGAGGGTTTGAAGACAAAATAATCATATACAATATAAATAAATATACGTTTACATAAAATTTGTAAATTTCTGTTTGCAACAAAACATAATTTTTTACAGTAAATTTATATTGTCTTTTGCCTTTACAGTTTATTGTCCCCATTCAATATTAATTATGAAATTGTGGATCTTACAGACAGTTGGTAGGGCTCCTTGGATGGGAGATCAGCCCATTATAAGGACGATACATAAGCAAGACAACACAAACCCAGAATAAACGCAGATAGACACCCATGCCTCAAGTTGGATTCGAACCTACAATTTCAGTGTTTAAGTGGGCAAAGACATTTCCAGCCTTAGATCAGATAATTTTATTTACAAAATATTTGTATCTTCCATTGCAAATTTCTAATTCTGATTGTAGTGCAATGCAAAAAGGAATGAACATGCCAGATGTACCGTGAGCACCAGAAGGCTGCTCTAGGTTGTACCAAAAATAAAGTTACTGTGCCTCTTCCAGTATCAGGAAGCGGTTTGCAGCTGAATCAGACTCTCAATGGTACAGAAGGCTTCCTTTCATCACCCAACTTCCCTGGAAACTACTACCATAATCTTGACTACTGGGTGCAGCTGACTGGTCCAGAAAGGACCCGACTAGTTGTCCAGTTCCAGCACCTGGACCTAGAGCCACAGAACGAGTGCCTTTATGACTTTGTAGAGCTCACAAGTATCGGAGGGGATGGACAGTTGTTGAATGATGCAGTTAGATGGTGTGGGAACCATCATTCAGAAACAGACAGGTGAATATTCTTGTAGTTCAGCTCCATGGAATTTTATAACCCATCAATATGGGAGGATTTACATTCAGTTATGTCAAATAATACTGGCTCTTAAACTAGTAGGAACTATTATTTCCTAGTTATGAGGATCAAACTTATTGTCATAAGGATAACATAAAACACTCATTTGAAATATCTTTAATATCCAAATTTGTTGAACATCTACTAGCCAATGAAAAACCGATAAATCTAGTAATACCTTTATCTTGAATGTAAGCAGTATTCATCATCATCAGAGGCGNTGATAAATCTAGTAATACAAATATCGCACAATAGCCCATACCTTTATCTTGAATGTAAGCAGTATTCATCATCATCAGAGGCGAAACACTCTTAGACCTTCTTGGGCCATATCCTTCCTTAGAAAGGCCTGCCAGATTGCATCCAATTTTCATTTCTTTTGTTTTTGCAGCAGCAGTTTTTTATACAGAGCAAGATCGTGGGCCTTGCATCAAACCTCCAACCTGAAGGAACAGATCTCTGTATTTATTTCCCCCAACGCCATTGTAGCCCAGTTATACCTCTAGGCACCAGATTCACTTTTTGTTATCTTCTGTGACTCACAAGGCTACAGTGGAGGCATTCTAACCTACCTCAACGTGAGGCATAAGCAGAATTCATGTGGATCAAATACCATTCGTAAGATGGAAGCACAGAGCATGAAGAGTCATCCATACATGGTTCTCCGCACTCCTAATAGGTTTTATATATGTATACACAGTGACCGCTGTGGGACACTGAATTTTAGCACTGAAGTGAGGAAGTCCTACCACACTGCATAACTTTACATCTTTGAAAACAGTAAACTTCAAAGCCATTGCACAATATACTCAAATTTCATGTGTGTGTACTTGTTTTCATTCATAGGTTCAACTTTGTGTCTGTAAGGAACAAGGCAGTTCTGAGGTTCCATTCGGATTACTCTGTGGCCGGCACTGGTTTCTCAGCCACATGGCAAGCCGTGGACATATCGGGCTGTCCATCGCAAACTCTCACTGCTCGGGAAGGCACACTTATGAGCCCAAATTACCCACATTTCCTTATGGCTCATCTTGACTGTGCAACTACCATCCTTGCACCAGGTGGGTGGTACCAAAACTAACTACTTGCATGGTACAAGGTGGGGTCTTGAGTGAGTAGTTAGTAGTTACTGAAACTAATTAATCCTTATGACACCTGCTGTATCATACTAAAATTCTGCAGTCTGCCCACAGATTGTATTTGTGTGTTCCATATGGTTCTCACAATAAACAGCGACTGTTTCCCTAAAGAGCATTAACCGGTTGGGCTTTGTAGTGGAGACGTAATGGGTTTCCTGTGAGGCATGGATTGAGTTTTCTGCCCACAGAACGTATTTGTGTGTTCTGTATGGTTCTCACAATAAACAGCAATTTTTTTCCCTAAACAGCATTAGCCGGTTGGGCTTTTCTGTGGGAAAGTTTGATGATCTGAGTTATGACTCTGTATAATGTGGTAGATGATTAGCAGCATTTGGAGGTACACACTGTCTCTATCTTCGTGATAATTTTTATCCTGATGATAGAAGCAGCATGTTCGTTCGAAACACAATACAAAACTACACTGTCATAACACAGAAGATCAGTCTGATTTTTTCTGATGTTCAGGTGCATGTCATATAAAATATCTAATAGGAAAATTCATATATATAAAATAATTAGATTTACTTTATGTCATTATGCACAAGTCATGGTTATTAGTAATTAGAAACAGACTGAAATGTGTCAAGAATAAATTGAAGGGAAAAGGTATCAGTGCTTAAGTCAGTATTGCAGTCTCGATATATGCATAAGAATGGACCAATGGAAGGGACGGCTGTGGAAACTGTAACTAGAAATGAAACTTTTACGTTTTCCTGCTGAATTTTTAATGGGCTTTATACTAATGTAGCAACCGTTTCATTCTCTTATAGAAGTTTATTTACAGTAATAAATTTAGATGTGTCATTCAGAAAATGCAACAAACAGTTTTGTAATTAAAGTAACACATTTAAATATAGTCATTTCTTTCGTAGCTGGACGACGGGTATGGCTTCAGTTCCTCGAGTTCGATTTTGGGTTGCAGCATGACAGTGGCAGAGACCTCCAGCTGGGAGAACAGGTCTTCAGTGAGGCAGTGTTAGAGATAGACGTGGGGGGTGGAAATGGGTCTTTCCAGCCTTTCCAGGTGCCAGGCCACCTCACAGATGGTGCATACCTCTCGGTGGGAGAGCGTTTGCATGTCAGACTGCGAACTGCTGGTAAACCAAGGGGAATTGGCTTCAAGGCTGCATATAGAACAGGTAAACTTACACGGATGGAGTAAATGTCAGCACATGTCAAACTTTCAAGATCAGATCAATAAAAGATCTTTAGCTTTATTCAGACACTGATTTTTCAGTCTCATACTTCAGTAATCTTCACATAACTGCAGTTCTTTTATGTGGCAGAACACAAAATAATTTGTCAGTCATAATTGTAATGCCTGGTAACAGTAGTATGAGTCAGCCTGTCGAGAAACTCTGTCTTGTCTGCCCAGTTCTTTCTTGTTTTCCCCATGATGGAAAAGAAAAAAAGGCATAGCCCGAGAAATTATTTTTTTTTTTAGTATGGTGATTTATTTCAGTTTTAAAGGATTCTGATAATAAACATTTTTGTATTACCGAGTTTCCGGAATGTTCATTTCCCAGTGTTTTGAAAGGAGAGTTGCAGTGATGAGATCAGTTCCCCCTAACAGACCCAATGCCCAGATGTTACCCTGACCATTTCAACTGAGGATGCAGACGTCCGGTTTCTGAAACATCATGTTCTTTCAGAGTACTGTATAATAGCCAAAGTCGAGATGCCTAGTGATTGTAATTATTTATGAAATGTTTCATTCAAAAAGGTATTGGTATTGAGAGGCACAAGTAACAGACAGAAAATTGCCCCTCTTGATTATCAGAATTTCTCCACATTTCTATATCACTCTTGTCTCGAGCTGGAAAAGTCGTACTTGACAATGATTATAATACAGCATAAATGTCTGGGATTAAGAATCACTGAGTAATGTGGAGCTGATAGCTGGACCATAACGCAGAAGTAATGGTGTTAGTACTGAAGAGTTCTGAGCCATCTGGACAGCACACATTTGTCATCGCAGTAATGCTGCATATGATCAGTAGGGGTTAATATTAGTGTCTTGCATGTGTTCCCATAACAGACGTGACATACGCCTAATGCCTTCTGCCTGCATTTTACTGTTTCAAGTGGGTCAGGTGCACGAGGAGCGGCTGGTGGACCTCAGCAATGTGACAGTTGGCACCCTGCTTCACCTAAATTACCCAAAACCTCCTCCTCCGCATGTGGAGTTTCTGCAGCACCTCGTTGCCCCTGTGGGATATGTGATCCTGTTGGAACTCTATCACATGACACTCACAGAGAACAGGAACTGTCCAGGTAGTGCTGGGATCATCGAAGTAACAGACAATTATGCAGATACCAATGGTACGTGGTGGTTCCTCTGTGAAGCAGCTACAGAACCTGGAGGGAAACTTGGATCCTCAACTTTGGCAATAACATCATATTTCAACACCCTCTACATCAAACAGAAAAGTGGCAGCTCAGGAGTTCAGCTCAATGCTACAGTTAAAGTTTACCCAGGTTAGAAGTCTTGAATTGTTAAGGAGAGAACATAGACAGAATGTGTTTCAGAGTATAGTATTGAGTAGAATATTTGGACCGAAGAGGGATGAAATATTAGGAGACTGAAGGAAACTGCATAATGAGGAGCTTCAGAACTTGCACTGTTCACCAAGTATAATTAGAATGATCAAATCAAGGAGGATGAGATGGGCAGGGCATGTAGCACAGATGGAAGCAAAGAGGAATGCATGCAGGCTTTTGGTGGGAAAGCCAGAACTATAAAGACCGCTAGGAAGACATAGATGTAGATGGGAGTATAATATTAAAATGGATCTTAGAGAAATGAGATGGGGTGATATTGACTAGATTGATATGGCTTAGGATAGGGACCAGTGGCGGGTGGTGTTGTGAACACAGTAATGAGTGCTCAGTTCCCAGAAATTTTGCGGAAATTCTTGAGTAGCTGAGTGACCGGCGGCTTCTCAAGAGGGACTCGGCTCCATGGAGTTAGTTAATTGGTTAGCTGGTCATACATTTAAATGTTTCCCAGTGACTAGACATTTATACCAGTTCATTATGACATGTATTTATGTACTTTGCAGATAGCAGCTATGCATTAAAACTTGTCCGAGGTTCAGAGGAAAGCAGTGTTGAGTCATGCCATCCAAACCCATGTCTGAATGGAGGAAAATGTGTGAGCAGAGGTTCTCATAGGACCTGTCAGTGTACGAGTCACTTCACAGGTGAGTCATTATGAAACAGCATCGCTAACCCTTTTCAGTGTTATTACAGCTTACAGCATACTGTACACTGGACATCATAAATTCAAATACACAAAAAGGTATTAAAACCAGTTGTGATTTATGAGTGTGAAACTTGGCCCAAGACTGAAAAGGACAAAATTATGTTGAACTTCTGCAGAAGGAGTATGGACTAGTATCTGAGCAAGGTGTTTGGGGAATCAGAGCTAACCAAGAATGAGGGAATTTGTTGCTATAGTTCTTAATTTTTTTGTCTCATATTTTCATTATTTTTCAGCTTATAAATCCATTTAATTCCTTAAGGCATATGGGCTGTATATCCATTGTGGGATTGTCGATGTTCTAAAAGACAACCACGTAAATCTGTAACAATTGTATATATTAAATTGTATAAATTGAATGTACACGATAGCTGCGAAGCTGTGTGGAATGTCAAAAGTTGGCTGGTCCTCAAAAGGGCAGTTTGTTCCACTGTGAGTTCACTGGTAGAATTTGCTCCTTTGTAGTAGACCAAGTCTTTATGGCCGTTCACCTGGTTTGTCTGGCCGGTAATGTGGTGCTGCGTGCACCTGTAGGAATACCCATACACTAAGTAAATTTTGTTCAAAGATATCTCCATATTAGAACACTGTAAAAATTATTTAACTACATACACAAATAGATAGAACCATTATGAACTAAAGCAACAAACTATTATATATCTCCAGATTTTTATGGACTACTTATATCTCTTGTCTATTCACCAGCCTCAGAATTGATGAAGTCTTTGTAATGTTCTAAGCAATATGCGATGGGCATATGTTTGAGTCCTACAGAAACAGTATTGGTGGGTATCGATTGGATTCGTCTAGCTCAAGTAATGATCAGTGGTGGTCATTTGCAAACAAAGTAATGAACTTCTGGGTTCCATAAAATTCCGGGAATTTATTGACTGACTGAGCAACTATTCACTTCTCAAGACGAACTCTGCTCAGTGGAATTGAATAAATAGCACCAGGATATGGTGAACTTATAGTTTTGCATGCCATGAGCTTATTATTTCATGTCAGAGACAAAGAAGTTGACTTAGTGTTAATTAGTGTAGCATTTCTGTCAACAGATGGCAACGGATGTGACTATACTGATGCTTAGAGGAAAGAACAAGCTACCATATGACTTACACTTGTGATCATTTAAGGTCATTTTAGAAATTTTTATTCGTTTTTCGGTGCCAGTGCATTTATCCCCAGGCAGACTTAATATTTCTGGAAGGTGCTTGACAGTCGTAGGGTTAAATGCCATGTTGAAGGATTTAGAGAGCAATGAAGCCATGTGAAGGAATGCATAGAAATATTGACTTTATTAGAAACTTCCTAAGACGTTTGCACTATTCTGTCTTGTGTAGGTATGTTCTGTGCATTAACTCTGTGTGAAGTGCAGCCATGTGCCTTTGGGCAATGCAAGCTTACGCCTACAAGTTATGTTTGTACGTGCTTACCAAGTTACACTGGCAGCAACTGTGAACAGAAACTGAGACCATGTGCAGAGAATCCATGCGAAGGACGCGGAGAGTGTTTTGAGAAGGGAGAAACATTTCATTGTCGTTGCTATGCATGGTGGGAAGGTGAGCTGATTTTAGAATAGATTTTGTTAACATACGAAACACAAGCCCCAGTATACTGGATGTTTAATCGCTGGTTTCACTTATATGTGGCAACAAAATGTGATATTTCTTGTCCTTACATTTTCATGGCTGGAGATTAATATTTGCTTTTAGGAATAACCTGCTTCGAATGTTAAATGTTACATTTTGGTAAATGTTGTGGTTCCTATCTTTATAGTTAATATCACTCCCCCCCCCAACAAACAAACAAACCACAC